GTCACGTGACATCCAGAGGGGTGATGGCAGGTCTGAATGTATTAAACCCGAGTTCAGGTTCACAGCCTTCTTGAGAGTTTCTGCACTCCCCCACCATTGTTCAGAGGGGGGCGTTTGTTTTAGGAAGGTCTCTTGTTTGCTCTTTTGAGGATTGAAAGTATCACTCCCAATCAATGTGCATTTACCTGTCCCCACCCTTCCATATCTGTACCTGGGCTTTAGTTTTTAAAGCTTGGGCCGGGGTGGCTAAACTAAAAGGGGTTGAGAAATCACGTGGCTGATGGACCAATGTACTCAGAGAATGCTGGGTGCTGAGCCCCATGTTCTCATGGCTAGAGGGCAAATGCTGAGGCAATCCTGTGTGCTTTTAAGTTCCACCCATGAACCATGGACACCAGCTGCGGTGTCCACTCCATCGGGTGACAACACTGTTTCTAGGCCACATTCTTTATATAAGCTACCCTGTAACTACCACAGCAACTCTAGAAATCAGTGTTTCTACCATCTCCATTTTAGTGATGAGACAAGCAATTACAGCGTGGCTAATTGACCTGCCCAAGGTCACATATCAAGTAGCAGGAGCTGGCTTTGAACCCAGGCAGTCTGGTTCCAGAATCTATCCTAACCGTCCCCTGTACATTATGCTGTCTGAGGAGTAGCATGCTACCTGGTGACTCGGGTTTGTTCCTGAATACCCACCACTCACTTGTGGTTAAAGACCTTTCTCATCCTGCACCCACACCAGCCTGGGAGATGATGGTGTCCACCCTCTAATTGTGGGTACCACAAACAAGATAAATGTGGCTTTGACACCAGGAAGGCTGAATTCCACTGTCTATCTCCATCCAGGTTCTGACTGGATGCCATCCTGCCTGGTGAGGCAGGGGAGGGGTGTAGGGACAATGGGGTCCTGCTTCTCATGGTCACTCCATCCCTAAGCAAGGCTCTTTCCCGTAACGACCAATCAATACCGCCCCCATCCCATATCCCCACCCTTTCCTGCATCCCTGTCTATAACTGCTATCGATTACAGCTGAGCAAAGAAGCAAATGCCAAAATACATCCATCAGTCACCAAGGTGGCGAAGAGACTTATTAAGGCCACTGCACCTCCTTCTGCTTTCCTGCTTTCCCTCGCTTCCTCCACCCAGGGGCCATTTCTTTTGGAAGGCTTCCAAGAACTTTGCAGACATGATCTGACGGCTGGTGGAATTTCCTCTATTTGGGGAAAATTTAAACCCAGAGAAGGAGCAAGAACAAGTCCCGCAGTGAGAAGATGAAAACCAGGTGTGTGAAAATGTGTGCTGTGTCTGTGTGCTCTGTGTGTGTGTGTGTGTTTATGTGTGTGTGTATAAATGTGCAAGAACCTGTTTGTTTAAAGAAAAACCCTAGGACTTAGTCACATCCCAGAAACATTTGGTAATTATCGCTGAAATTTTTACAAATCAATTCCTTCTGGTCGCTTAATGTCCTTCACTAAGTGGCTTAATTGTAAAATTTCACTTTATAATTGGGTTCATTTTAATGCAGAAAGAGGTAGATTTGCATACGCAAATGACAAACAGTTAACAAAACCCATTAACAGAGAAACAAGGTTCCAAGGAGGAGCCGCACACCTGGGTTGTCGGCATGGACTCAAAACCTGTGCAGAGTCCCAGCCCAGGCTATCCCCACATCCCTGACCCTGACTAAGGCGAGGAGTTAAAAGATTGCTGGGCCGGGAGCTATTCCAACAAGGTAAAGTGAGCAAAACAAGGAAGGATTTTGGCTTGCTAATGAAAACCCGGACATGTTTTCTTTGCAAGGAAACTTAGACTGGCTTCAGCATGCTCACTACATCATTAACCCTAACCGTCAAGGACCGCCATGCCTCAGTTTCCTCCGCTATAAAGTGAGGAAGCTAAACTAGATCACATCTGAATAACTGTTTCAAAACTCTTACTGTATTATTCATTCACTCACCTACAAACTGTCCCCTTTATTGAGCCCTGGCTATGAGCAGTTGTTACAGAAATGACGGAATCAAATGGGGTCAGGGTGAGGTGTAAGTTCTGGGACACACACACATAAGCAATGACAGAGCTCTTCCCATAGGGAACCTGTTTTCTGCTGGGGTGCTATGATCTGAAGTGCACCTTGACCCTTGATCGTTAAGTTGTCTGTAGGTGGAGATAGGACCTTAAAGGAGGTTATAAGGGTAGAGCTCTGATCCAATAAGACTTGTGTATTTAAAAAAGATGAATTGGACAGTCATAGTGATGAATGATTAATCCCAGCACCCAGGAAGCAGAGGCAGGCAGATCTGAGTTCAAGGCCAGCCTTGCCTATATAGTGAGTTCCAGGGTAGTCAGAGCTACATAGTGAGACCCTGTCTTGGAGGAAAACACGCACACACCCCAAACAGAAAAGATGGCTGCTTCTTCCCTGCTCCTGTAAAAACAGCCAAAGAAAGGAGTCATCTGCAGGCCAGAAAATGGGCCTCAGCAGAAACTAACCTAACTGGCACTTTAATTTTGGACTTCCAGCCCCCAGAACCATTCAAATACTAACTCCTGTTGTTGGGGTTTTGTCGGGTGGCATACGCTAACATGGGAGGGAGACAGGAAGGGCACTGTGTTGTGGGAACACAGGTTAGGGGCACTGCCCAGGCCTTAGTGGAGAAAGTGTCCTACAGGCCCTGCTGTCTGAAGGACCAGGATTCACAGATGAGGAGGGGAGAACACTGGGCTGGACGCCTGCGTAGCGAAGATGCCGAGGTGGGAGCTCTGGGTGCATTGGGAAGCACGGAGAGCAGATTCTCTGAGAGCAGCCTGAAGGGTCAGAGGAAGAGGTGCGGGCCTGAAAGCAAGGGGGCGGGGCTACAAGCAGACATGCCCCGGAAGATCTCGACAGCCAGCAAGCTGCTAGCACTTTCGATGCTTGAGAGTCATCCCATGATGCTTCTGATTCTGCTGAACAAATGCCAAGGTGGGTTCCGCAGGTGGAGAGACGGACAGCTGCGCTTGCCCCCTGGTTGGCAAGGCTGCATGTCCCTCATGGGCAGGCTCTGCTTGTTCATACAAAGACTTCCTTCTTACCTTTCAACACATCTTCTAGGACAGCCTCTCCTTCAGGTATACACCTTCGATCTGACAAAAATCCCCTTGTTTTTATTAATAACCTGTAGCGTTTATTGCGTTAGTTAATGCCAACCAAGCGTGAGGCGTTGTTTTAGGGGCTTTATGTGAATTAGATCTTTTAATCCGCACATCAACATTATGAAGTAGATTCTATTAACTCCAGTTTCTGGATGAGGGACTTGAAGCACCAGAGATTAAGTCACCTGCTCAGAGCTACTCAACTGACAAGAGAAGCCAGGATTAAAACCCTGGGCAGTCTGGCAGTCTGGCTTGGTGTCTATATGCTCTGTAGTAAGAAAAGAGAGGGAGGGAGGCAGGATGGGAGAGAGGGAGAGAGGAAGGGAGGGAAGGAGGGAGGGAGAGAAGGAGAGAGAAAGAGAGGGAGAGAGGAAGTGAGGGAAGGAGACAGAGAGAGACAGAGACAGACAGACAGACAGACAGAGAAAAACCGAGGCTGAGACTGGACCTTGACTCGGCTCCCTTGGCTAGTCTGAGTGCTGTAGCCAGGACGAGAACTGTGCTCCTTTCTGATTCCAGACTCTGGGCTCCTACCCACAGGAAGTGCTGCCTCCTGAGGGACTGGTGAAGAGGCAGATGGCTTTGCTGGCTCCTCGGGAAGTAGATTAGCTAGGCCTGTCCTGGGGTGGCTGAAGAGTCGAGGAAATCAAGGAGGGCAGCCAAGCAGGCTGTGCAGCCAAGTCTTCATCACCGTGCACCACGTGCCCCCTCACACACTCATTCTTCCCTCATTCATCAAAAGCCTGTTCTGCGCCTGCTGGGTCTCGGGCATGGGCTTGAGAAAAGCGAGCAGAGGGAAAGTAGCAAATGCTGAGAATGACCAGGCCATTCACCAGCCTTCTAGATGGTAGGCTTGATAAATAAATAAACAGAACAAATTATTGCAGTGTGATTACATCTGTAGATCGATACATATCTCTTCATCTCCCAGTAAGATTTTATAAGGGAGGTAGCCTACCCCCTGCCTGCAGAAATCACCGGAGCCATCACTCTAAAGATGATGCTGATTGAGCCAGGCGGAAAGGATGGCGGGAGGGAGCATCCTGGAAGAGTAGGTGAGGTCCTCAGAGCTTCCCAGAAAGTACACAATGGGTGCCTGCACTCCTAGACCACAGAGCCACAGCATTAGAACTGTTAGCCCTGGAAGAAGACCTACAACAGATGAGGAAACTGAGCAGGCCCGGGCACAGGCCGCTCCAGGAAGTATCACATCTCAAGGCCACAAACATGCTGAGCTGTTGCAACCTCAGCTCGCTGTCTATGGCATGGCTTTGCCCAGTTTACACAGGCAGCAGCTGGCTGGTACTCTGAAGCCAATAGAGCAAGAATCAGTACAGCCTCCACACCAGCCTCCTGGCCTTTGTGAATATGGCTGTGGAATACAATGCAGAAGGAACAGGGAAGAAGAATAAGAGGAGCCATGGAGTTTGTCATGGTCTCTGGCTGGTACACCTGGAAAATGTAATTCCAAATCTTCGTGACTACCTCCCTTCAACCCACTTCCTAGCCACAAGGCTTATGTTTAGAAATACATACTGCTTCCCACAGCGCCCCTCTGTATTCTTTGTTGCCTGATTTGCCAACTCCACACCTCTTCAACATCTATTTCATCTGCAGATTCTTTTTTCAGCCGGTGTGGGCTAAGCCCTGCAAAGTCCACCTCCAAGATCAAAGAGTTGCAGTTCTACTACCAGCCAGCAGGGGGCAGTCATGCTTCGACTCTCTGTCCTGCCCAGCCAGCCCCAGCCCCAGTCCCAGCCCCCCAGCCCAGTCACAACTCCTTAGAGATGCAAATTGAGAGGCAGCCTTCCTAACCAGAGAGGGCTGCTAATTCTCTGACGAGTATGCAGATTTCCATCTTGCCTTTGCCTGGGTTTATTTGTTTTACTTTGCAATAAATTTAATACAGACTCCCTGAAGCAGAGAGGCAGATGGACTATAAACTCTGCATTTTGAGCAGCCTTTCTTACTAGGTTAGTGTGAGTTTTGATCCCTGCTTAAATTATATCTATGAAATTTGACATGGATTTGGGTCTGGGGTTTGCTGGCTTGTTGGGACTCTGGAGCTGTTCTTAGGGAATTTACAAGGGCGGACTTGATTATTGGGGCTTTAATTTCTCACAGAGGCTAACAGGGAGTCCGAGGAGACAGGTTGGGGTACAACAGGAAGATGGAAAAGCAAGAGAGTTGGGTTTCTGTGGACCCCCAGTGATGACGTTATCAGTGTTGTTTTCACACGCCTCTTGCAAGGTCTGAAGCCAGACGTCATGGACCTGTGTGGAACCCTTCGGCCTTCCTCGAGGGAGGAACTCCTAGGGAACTCAGAGCCTAAGGGAAGAAAACTCAGATACACATAAGAGGCAGATATCACTAAATACCAAGGAGAACAGTGCAAATTAACATTTCATGTAAGTGTAAGTTGGACTGAGGCGATACAGCAAAAGGAAAGACACGCAACAACCCTCTCAGGTGAGCACTCTTGCCCCACGCCAGGGTGTGCACCTCCTCCTGTCTGCATCCTCCCACAGGTCACTGAAGAAAGACAGTGGCAGGAACCAGGAACAGTACAACCTGAATTCTTGGCTCAGCTTCACCAATTCCTTCTTTGTCCAAATATTTGGGCAACGTGTATTTAAGCTCTCCCAGCTTCGGTTTCTCTGTCCGAACAACTGAAATCACCTGACTACCATGAGGAAGAGGGAAGATAACTTTGATAGGGATGGACAGGACAGGATTGTTGAAAGTGTGTCGTGGACAGACGCCACCGTACTGTGCGGTCACCACAATGAGCACAGGAAGGCCTCAGCCAGAGGAGCATTGTGAGTGGAATTCCAGGCCCTGCCGGTGAAGCGGACATTCCCTAGGGGAGTTGGCTTCCACAGTCAAGCAAGGTATGGCGAATGGCCAGCTGTCTTTCTAGGCTCACCTGTTTGCAAAACCTGCCTGACAGCCAGAGGGAGAGGGTGGTCATCTGGGAAGCTTCTAGAAATGTCAGATTCCAGGGATTGCTCCACAGAACTCTAAGGAGAGCTTGGATCGATGTGGCGGAAGGAAACAGTCCTGTAGGCTTGGACACCTCCCCACCCCACAACCACAGAGCCCAGGCAGAGCCACAGCTGAGGGGAAGAGGGAAAGGGAAGGACCCCTGGCTTCTGCCTCTATCCTCTGCGCCTGTATCTCTTTCAGGCCGTAGGCAACCGGGAAAGAAGGGCCCCGGAGGAGGAACACATTTGAAGAGTGAAAAGCAAAGAGAAGCAAAGGTTTGGGAGCAGCCTGAGAAAGGAGGCACAGAGGAGAGGGCGGGTAAGGGACACGGGGAAGGGACAGTGACATGTTGACACTTATTAAACTTTGGAGAGAATCAGCCACTGGAAGGGACGGGAGAGAAAGGAAACAGGAAAGCTTCACATAAAGGAGGGGGTGGGCACCCAGGCTGGGGAGGCTGGGATAAATGGAAATGAGAGGCTTGGTCACCATGGAGAAAGGAGCCGGGAGCTTTGGCAGCAGTTCGTCTGTTAGCAGGCTAGGCGGGGATCAAAGAAGCTGCAGTGTGGCTGTGCACACAAACAACCGGCTTGGAAAAGGACTAGCTGAATTCAGCCCAGAGCCGGGGGCTGGGGGAGGGGAGGAGTAACTGGTTGAATTCCTACTGAAACAATTGTTTGCTCTCCCCCCCCCCCCCCGCCCCGCCCCGCCCGCCGCACCCCACTCCAGGCTGCGGCCCCGATAAAGGCACGAAACTAAAACTGTTCATTCTGAAGATTTTGTTCAATTACAGTGGGTGGCTTTTACCCCACCCACAGCAGAATAGTCTTGGGTTTGGGGAACCCAGGTCCTGCAGCAGGGAGATGAAGGAGATGGCAGCTGAGGCTGAGGAGAGAGAAGAGTCGAATGCCATGGCAAGGATAACATAACCGGGTGTCTTTTCACAGGCCCTGTTGAGGAGGGGAAGATGGCCACCAAGTAGAGGCTTCAGGGCCAAGGGAATTACCACACGTGTTTTCTAGAATTGTGGCAGGGCTATAGCACCCCTACTTGCCTCCATCAGGCCTCCCCCTAGTCCTCTTTCGGGAAGGGGAGAATTAAAACAGGGTTTCTGCTGTAGAGCCCAGGCTGGCCTTGAACCTGCACCTGTCCTGTCTCGGGCTTTCACATTGCTGGGATTTCAGGCAAGTGTCACCACACCTGACTCTAGATCTTTAAAGAGCCCACATTAGCTCTCTTTCAGAGCACTCCTCCCTTAGAGGCAAGGGACGCTGAGAGAGCCCTGCTCCCCCTTCTAGACCATGCTCCAGGTACCCAGACTGGTAAGGGATGGCTATTTAGTTAAGAGTGGACTCAAGGAGTCATGCCCCAGCAGGGATCACAGACAGATCTAGGACCGAGGGCCACAAGGTTCCTTGGAAGGCAAAACCATGCTTCAGACAGGAATTAGAACGGAGGGTTCTAAGCTAGGGCTTCCACTGGTACCCTTGCACTGGCCTGCATGTGGAACCCCCAAGGGGACAGTCCAACTCACAGCAGTGAGCAGTGTAGAGGCAAGTGGAGAGGAACGGGCTTACAGTTTACCTTCAGCACTACTAGGAACACAGTAGTTTAAAAACTCATTCGCTGTTCACAAATTCACATCCGGTTGCCTAGCCTCCATTCCCGGGCACCTCCATCCCTAGACTTAAGACCTAAGAGGACTACAACATCCTGAGAAGCCTTAACTGCATTAGGACCAGACTGATCATTTCGAGCTATAGACGAGGCTTGTAAAAATGATGTGATTTTTAAAGGTTCTGGGCCACGTGGGGAGTGTGACCATGGCCATCTCTGCCAGTGGCTGTGAGAGGGGGGCAGAATCTCCATAGGATCAGAACAACTTCTCCAGGGGGAAAACATTCCTCACCAGCAGCCACACAGCCACTGAAACTCCAGGGACGAAGGTCTAAACTGATGAGAAAGAATTTCTCTTTCCTGGGAGGCCATCTTGCTTCAGTCCTTCATGATGATGGGAGCGGGGAGGCGGGAAGGAGAGAGAGAGGAGAGTAACACTTGATTTTCTGAAGTACGGTGGAACCCCTTATCCAAGGAAAAACTTCCAAGACCCCCCCATCTCCTTCATGTCACTCTTGTCCCTTTGGGGCCAATTTAAATACAGTAAGGGCTACTTGAAGAGGAATGCTGAGGTGCACAGCAGTCTGACAGGTGCTGGGCGATAGATAACAAGGGGGCAGCTGGGCAGCCAGGATGTACTGGACGCAGGGACGGAGGAGGACATGAGATCTCACCACACTGCTCAGAGCGCTGCACAGTCCAAAACACACGAGTCCGTCACCTCGGAATTCTGCCTTCGGTATTTTCAGGCTACCACTTAGGTAGCCAAAACCATGAAAAGCAAGGGTGTGGACAGGAGACCTGCATGTTTCACAGGCAGCTGCCCTTCCTCCCTCACCTAAAACTCCTGGACTGCTGCTGAGGCTCTTCAAATCGCTTTCAGAATCCAGCCTCTAAAATGCTGCATTCCGGGAAGAAAGTAAATACACACACACATACATACATACATAAGTCAATAATCATCCTACATTAATTCTAACTCAGTTATAAGCACAGAAGCAGGAAAATAAAAAGCAGCGATTGCCAAATGAAAACAGTCAGGAAGGAGGACTTTTTAATCCAGAAAACTTTTACAGTGTTATGACAAACAATGGAGAATAAAATAAAATTAAAACAATAAAAAAAAAAGAATACCCAGCAGTGTCCTGTTAAATAATTGGATGAGATTCATCAGGGTAGCAACTGGCGCTGAGCGTTTTTTAATTTTCTCCCTGCTGGATATTCTCTTCTCACAGTATCAACAAATAGATTAACTGCTTGTCAGCGACCAGGCCCTCGCAGAGCAAAATTGAATTCTTTAGTATTTATTTTCCCTTTATGTCCTCTCCTCAAAGAGGAACATCTGATTTTTTTCCCTTCTTTTGACAGGACCTCATGCTGTCATTTTGTAGCCCAGACTAGCTCAGAACTCACTGCCTAGCCCAGGCTGGCCTCAGATTCATGGCAATCCTCCTGCCTCAGCCTCCTGACATGAATCATCATGCCTGGCTGAGTACTTTTTTAAAAAACCCCAATCTAGAAATGATTCATTGTGCTCTCAAGGACTGCTTAATCGCATTGTGCAAACAGCTCATGCCTCAATACCTCAGTCCCTAACTGTCTTTCCCGTTGAAGGCAATGAACTTCCAAAAGGCAAGAGACAGAGGCAGACCTGGTACTTGCATTGAGTGTTTGTGGCAAATAAAGATGAACAGTGCCACGGTGCTTTGAACAAACACGAGTATTGCAAAAGTTCAAATTCTAGGAATGGTCGTGGCGGCAGGAGCACAGAGTGCCACGTAATGATGTAGAACCACGATGGACCGTGTGTTGTCCACAGTCGTGACTTAGTTTTAGGAGACCATGATAATTCAAATATCACCCTTAAGTTTTTTAGTCATTTATTTTTGAGACAAGGTCTTATGTATACTAGGCTGGCTTCAATCTACTTCTTGGGTGTTGGGAATACAAGCACGCATTAACATGCTGGATTTATATGGTACTGGGGCTTGAACCCAGGGCTTTGTACATGAGAAGCCTGAACTCAAGAAACTTGGCTATATTCCCAGCCCCATGTCTTTTATTTTTTTAATTTTAGAATTTATTTATTTTTAAAAAGCTATAATCATTTGGGAAGTTATACAATTTCTTTGAGCTTTTATGTTATACAGTGATATAAATGCTATAGGTCAATATTAGATATCTAGGAGAATGTTTGTCCTCCTTTAAAAAGGGCTGTAGCTGGGGGCGTAGTTCAATGGTGAAGTACTTATGTGATGTGCTTAAGCCCCTGATTCAGACTCTAGAGACCCTGAACATTTATTGGCTGTGAAAAAAACAATGATAGATTGGAAGCATTTGAACTAGGAAATCAGAACGTTTGGAGGTCTAACCCTGATTGGCAACCTGTGCAAGCCAGCGGCTCAGCCTGAAGCCCAAGGAGAAGCCATGGGTGTGCCTCTTGTTCTCTTTCAGAAGGGCTCAGGACCCAACGTGATGAGGAGTTAATTTTAATAATGAATATGGGACAAGTGTGCAAAACATTGAGTGTTTCCCATAGCTTTTTGTTGTTGTTTGAGACAGGGTTTGGATTTCACTCTGTAGACCAGGCTGGCCTCAAACACAGATAGATCCACCTGCCTCTGCCTCCCGAGTGCCAGGATAAAAGGAATGTGCCGCTACCACCGCCTGGCTGAACGTTTTATTTGTTTGTTTATGGTTTTTTAAGACAGGGCTTCTCTGTGTAATAACCACAGCTGTCCTGGAACTTGCTGGGTAGACCAGGCTGCCTCAAACTCACAGAAATCCACTTGCCTCTGCCTCTCGGAGTGCTGGGATTAAAGGTTGTGGCACCACACCCAACTAAGCACTAATCACTTCATGAGAGGCAGGTTGTTCTTGTCTTTGCATGCTCAGAGTCACTGAGATTGAAGAACTGCCACCTTCATTCTGGAAAAATATGGAGACTTGATCGTGGCACATAAGGAAAGAATATAGTAAGAAGTGGATACAGCCCGCCACCTTGCTCAGCTGTCTGTCCCCCCACACTCCATTGGGGGTGATGTACCCTGCAGCTCTGCTCAGGCCCAGCTCTGAATTCTTTATTCTTTAGCTCCCAAGATCCCCTTCTCATTAAGTCTGGGAAGTGAGACAAAAACAGAATCACTTAATGGTGTCTGGGAAAGACAGTTGTCAGTTTTTCTGTCCTGGCCCTGGCCCAACTTTCCAATCAACAGAATTGCACTCAAGGTTGGACCCACCTAAGGGAAGCAAGGGCAGATCCAGTTCAATCAGCCATTTCAGGGGCTGAGTTCTCAGCAGTGGAGGGAAACAGAAGCACAAGAGACAGGATGTAGACTGGTGCTGAGTAAGTGGTTTTTGAAAATAATACCAAATATAAATCGGTGAAGGTCTTTTTCCCATGCTGAGGTTCAAACTCAGGACCTTGCACATCAGCTAGGAAAGTACTCTACCAATGAGCTACATCACCAGCCCTGATTTTATGACATTTTAGTATATACCTTTAGTCTTCCCAGATCACAGCAGCAACTTCAGAGCAGTTATTTGGGACCAAAAGGCAGGGGGCTGCTCAGATACTGAGTTCCTTTAGTGCTTTAACCCCCGTCATATTTGATATGAATCTAACTCACCAAAAGAAAATAAGATACAAACCCTTCTTAAAAGTAAGAGACAGGTTTTAAAGCCAATGTAAAAATAGGATCTCATTTACAATAGCAATAAAATAAAACAAACTGTAAGACCCTGGGGAATTAAGAATTGTATGCAAGACTTTTTGTAGAAAACGTTTCTGATCCCTGTTAGAGGACATCTGAGAGAACCTGGATAAAGGGGTGATCCTCTCATACTTGTGAAAGGGATGACTTCCTAGACTAACTGTAAATTTCATTTATTGCAGTCAAAATCCCAGTAGACTTGGATGTGGGGGTGAGGGCTCAGAGGCCCAGAAAGACCCTACAATTCAGGAGGAAGAATAAAGATCCACTAACACTGAAATGGATTAAAAATGGAAGAGCCCAATCCAGGAAGACGTGGCATCAGACGCTGAGAGACGTCACAAAGACCCAACTCCTAACCCAGTATAGCACTGACACAGGACAGAAAAGCATGCTGGGGACACCGGGGCGTGGGTCCAGAAGCACATGAAATGGTACATGAAACCCTGGCACATGATACATCTGGTATCCTAAGTCAAACAGTATAAAATACGAACTATTTCATAAATGCTGAGTAAGTTCAGATCTCTGTCTCATTTCTGAATGGGAAAATAAACTCTATAGAGATTTCAGTCCTAAACACCAAAGGTAAAACTACAAATTAATTAATAGACAATCCATGATGACATATTGTGACCTTAAGATAGGGAAAGAATTTTTAAAACATTCGAAAGCAAAACCACAAAGAGGAAGATGGGTGGATTTTCACATCCAAATTAAAGATTTCTGTTCAATGAAGTAGTCCATCAGCAGAGTCAGCAGATGGGTAATGCCTAGAAAAGATATTAGCAACCAACAATTGCTCGGGGAATCCCAACAGATTAGTTAGAAAGACAGGATCAATAGAAAAATGGGCGAATTATGAATAGGTAGTTCATAGAAAGTGAAACCTTGGCTAACAAGTGTTTGAAGTAATGCCTAATTCCAGGAATGAAAAAAAAAAAAAAAACCAAACAAAGATCCTACTTTCTATGTAATAAATTAACACGATTCAAAGCTTGATAATGTCAAGAACTGGCTAAGAACGTAGGAAACAAGGAACAGCTAATGAGTATAGCCATGTGAGGGACAATTTGGTAGCACCGATAAAATGAAGACTGCATATGGCCTGTGCCCCAGCCTTGCCGCTCTGGAGATAACTGCACCCTGGAGAAATCGGCACACAAGAGTATCCATCACCTGCTAACGACAGTAGCAAAGAACTGGTGGCAGCCTGAGAGTCTGCTCATGGGGATACAAGGGGACCTGTGGAAAATGCAGGTAATAAAAACAGTGGGGTGGCCCGCCCGCGGTATGTCACAGTTCTACTCACAGCACTTTAGTGGGTAACTTATGAGACGCGGATTAGCAGGACATACATTACAGCAGATACGATGGTGTGGGACTGTCACTCCTTTTCTGGTCCCATCCACCCAACTCTCCAGCTGCGGGGCATATTTGTGACAAGGCTCAAGCTGTCTCTCAGGAGACTTGCCCTGATGAGTGACAGGGGATTTCCTCACCGAAGGTTATGCCCCTCCGAGGGGAAGGCCAGCAGCCACTGATCGATGGATTAGTGTTCTGACACTTCTGCTTCAGTTTGGGAAATTTGGAGTGTCCAGAGCGTGTGTGAGCTGTGCTCAGTTAGTAGCTGCCTCACCTTCCCTCCATCCGAACTCCCTCCCTTCCTTCCTGTGTGTCACCTTGTGGACAAACCTGTCTGCTACACCCATCTCAGAATCTGTTTCTGGGAAGCTCTGCCCAAGAAACACATCAAATAATCAAGAGTGAGAGACGTCTGTGAGGGAAACAAAGATGAAAGCAAGAATTTAGGAAATCATCAACAACGAAGATGGCATGCCTTCAAAAAGGAGTATGATTGCCTCAGCCACGCCACCCAAAGACTAAGGAACATGTAGCATCTCTAGGTGGCGATGTGCAAACCTGCCTCTCCTGTTCACTGTAATGCAGCACCATTTAATCTTCTGCCTAGAGAACAGTGATGAGCAAGGAATCAACTCCCCCAAAAAAGTGGAGTGAGATCTGTTGCTAGAGTTTTCCTGCCTGGCCCACAGTCAGGGCAAATCTCTCTCACCCGCCAGTCCCAAGCCGCTCAAACCCGATCAAGTAAACACAGAGACTTATATTGGTTACAAACTGTATGGCCGTGGCAGGCTTCTTGCTAACTGTTCTTACAGCTTAAATTAATCCATTTCTATTAATCTATACCTTGCCACGTGGCTTGTGGCTTACCGGTACTTTACATCTTCCTTATCCTGATGGCGGCTGGCAGTGTCTCCCCCCCCCAGCTTCCTGTTCTCTCAATTTTCCTCTCTGTTAGTCCCGCCTATACTTCTTGCCTGGCCACTGCCAATCAGTGATTTATTCATTGACCAATCAGCAACACATTTGACATACAGACCATCCCACAGCACCTCCCCTTTTCTTTTCTTAAAAAGGAAGGTTTTAACCTTTACACATCTCCAAAGTCAGCTTGGTATATTTGGGAATTTGGGCGTAGCTTCTCTTACTACTTCCTGCTGGAGGGGGGGGCACTGTATCTTTTGGGGAAACAAAGAAAATTTTAGCATCATGGAGTAGTCCGTGAGGCTGTATCATCTGGGCCAGTTGCCTTGAAACGGTTCTGGATGTTGGATCATCTGGGCCATGGTGTCATCGGAGACCTTTCAGGTGGTCTTGGCTGGTCAAACCTGATGTGTCTTAATCTGGAACAAATCCATAGCCTCTTGCTTTCTGTGGAAACAAAAGAGACTCTTTTCCAAAGCAACATATCCTTACATCCAAATTTTGAAGTCAAAGTATCTTTAAAATATACATACTGGTTTAACTCAGCTTCCTTTACAATCAGATATCTCTCTGTAGTTAAGAATCCCAAAGACAACACAATCCAGACTCTCTGTGTAATAGTCATCTCTACGTGGCTTATTTTTTATATTAATTTTACTGTCTCTTTAAAGACTTTATTTTTTAAAACCATGTATTTGTTTCTATACTGCATATATCACCTTTTTTTTGTCTCTTTTAAGCCTACGTATATTTTACACACATTTTAAACTATTACATCTGAATCTGTCTTATTGTGAATCTATTGCTTTAAGCTGCAGCAGCTGTGGCTGCTGGCTCCGCCCACCGCAGCTTCCCAACATGGCATGGTACTTTACCACCAGCTCTGGGAGCTATCGTGGGTCTATGCTTTTATCCAAGCAGCGTGTAGCCCAGAAACCTCTTTTTTTGTTTTGTACTAGCAAAGGCTAAATCCACAATGCAGCTTAATGTGTCACTTGCAGAGGCCTCATTCCCGCCATACAGCAGGTCGAGCGCGCACGCCAGCAACCCGCCAGTAGCTCAAACCGGCAGCTGCTGCTCATTTGAGAGAGACAATTAGGAAGCTGTTTTTAGCTCCGTTTTAGAATTTTTTTTTTTTTTTTTTTAGTTTTTAGGTGGAAACTCTTGCCACCACGTTGGACGCCAGAGATCAGTGAGCAGGGACTCCTGTTTTTGTCTCCTCAAGAAACATCCTCAAGAACCATATTGTAGAATAGTGGTCACCCAAGTCTGTCCTGTCTGCAAACAGCTGAGAGAGATGGCAACATCCTGTCCAGCATGTGTGTGTGTGTGTGTGTGTGTGTGTGTGTGTGTGTGTGTGTGTGAGAGAGAGAGAGAGAGAGAGAGAGAGAGAGAGAGAGAGAGAGAGAGAGAGAGAGAGAGAGAAAGAGAGAGAGAGAGAGAGAGAGAGAGAACATGGCACCACCTCAGGCAGTGAACAAACCAAAATCCAGCAAGTGACAGATTTTGCACCACAGAAACAAGAGACCTTTATGGCACTTGAGGGAGCTAGTCCTTACACTCAGGAGCAGCCTTGCCAACCTCCGAGCTGGATTCTGCATAAAGCTGGATGTCTCACCCTCCCTGTCCCCCCCTCTCCACTCCACCCGCATCCATCTCTTCCCAACATTCACCATCTTGTGAAATTCTTCAGCAATACAAAGGGGTTTACTTCCACACCCCATGACCCAGCCTATCACCTCTCTATGCCCCTACCTCATCTCCAGAGCCCGCTGGCCTCCTCGAAGTCTCTGTAGGTGTCTGGGTTGGTACCACACACCTGGACACTGAAACGGAAGAGGCTAAGGAGAGAGAGAAGCAGTGATCCAACAGTCTACAAACCCCGTGATCGGCTAGCCAGAGGTGGCAGCTCCTAGTGTCCTCCTTCCCTGTGGACAGAGGACTGTGCTCAAATGCACACACGTAAAGGGTAATACGTCTTTCCCTCCTCGTCTTCTCGGTAAGAACTGTATTGTTTTCCTGCTCTCCAGATCCTAACAAGTAGGAAACAGCCCTTGGTCCTTAGGAACTTACAGTTGCTGGGAAAGGAAGTCTTGAAGACAAAAAGTGAAGATATAAATTATAAGAAAGTTACTGGGAAGTCTCTATGTTCAGAGTAAGAAAGCTCACATCACAGGGAAGAACCATGGGGTTCACATGACCACCTAGCTTTTGAGAAGCATTGCAATTGATCGAGTTTGTTGTTATGTCCAAAATCAATTTTAATGTATTTGAAAAGTAAATTGAATCATATAAAAATAGAGGATCACTAACAGCTCTTTGGCTTTAAAAACAATAGTAGCCTGGCAGCGGTGGCGCATGCCTTTAATCCCAGCACTTGGGAGGCAGAGACAGACAGATCTCTGTGAGTTCAAGGCCAGCCTGGTCTACAAAGTGAGTTCCAGGACAGCCAGGGCTACACAAAGAAACCTTGTCTAAAAAAAACAAAAACAAAACCCACAAACAAACAAAAGACAACAACAAAAAACCCTCAATAGTAAAAAGCAAGGCACATTCTCTTTTAACCATTTTATTCTACCCCCACAAGTAAATTTAACGAGTTGGTGTGTTCAGAGGAAATGATTCCTTTTTCATCATTTAGGGGTGAGTGAGATGGGGTCTTGCTGTGCAGCCAATGTGTCTTCCATCTCACACCCCTCCTGCCTTGGTCTCCAGAGTGCTCTGTGAAGTCTATTCTAATGCTAGCTTTATATAGTAAAATGGAAATGGAAGGATTTCTAACCGAAGAGTTATGTCATCATAGCAATGTTTCAGAAAAAGAAATCTGGCAGTCATGTACAGCTTGGATCAAAGTGGGGAAAAAAGAAAAAGAAAAAAAAGCTTGAGAAGAGATGAGCATGAGGAGGATGGGATGGCTTGATTCCAAGCAATGACAACACCTGTCAGGCATGGTAGACTAGATATCATAATCAAAGAGCACATCTGTGCTCCCTGATAAAAACCTGCTGAAATAACCTAAGTGAAAGAAAGGGCCGTGAACTCTCAAAGGCAGAGCTGCAGCACAGTTTTAAGCCAAAGTAGATGGGATCTTCAAAATCTCTCTTGTGGCTGCCCCAGGTGTCTGCCAAGGCCAGACAACCACCCCTCCTGTGCCCAATCCCCAGCAGACTGCAGGACATCCAGGAGGGACTGACTGACAGAGAGGCTAGCCACAGCTGAAAGTGGAGGTGAGGCATC